TGCTAAGACATTTACTGGAAAATTTTAGTTTCATTTCTACTAAAATATGTTTTTAAATGCCTTAAATTTTTTTTAACAAATTTAAAAAAAAATCTTTTTCAATATCTCTATGTTAAAAAATGTATAATTAAGTACATTTATTAACTATATAAAGACAGAGGCCCCACAATATATGGCCTTTGACTAAAGCGCATTTAGACCCGACTTGGTAGACCCGTTTTGAACACATTGAATGTTTCTTCTTATCCTGCAACTCGAATTATGGCCCAAACAGTTCACTTACCGCCCACACTCGTCGACATGCCCGCTGCGTAGCATATAATATTCGTGTCGCGACATTCAAATGAAAAATGATTGCCTGCTGTGACTTTTATTTTGTGGCCGCACAATTCACAATTCACGTGGGGTAGTTTATGTGGAAATGCCTTTAAAGTGTGGGTGGCTGCATGCGTTGTATAAATAAAATTACACATACGCCCCCGTTGACGTAGAACAAGGACTAAATAATGTTTGCTTAAAGTCAAGCCCAATCGCTACGACCCCCAGAGACTGGCCCTCATGGCTGCCTGACCTACCGCAACTGCCGCAGACACCAGCAACAGCAACAGCAACAGTCACACAAACAAACAAACTATGCTTAATTGCAAAGAGGTTCTGGGACCTCCAGCCTGACTCTCGGCAAGTCAAGTAAATGTCTCAATAAACTGCAAAAGTTGCCTCGGCGCACCGCTTGGGAGCACGACTTAACCTCAATTTTGATTAACAATGTCTGGCAATGAAGCTGTCAACGTGCGGCTACAACGTACAACCGAACCTGAGCCCAAACTCCTCAAGCCATCCCATCCCATCCMATCCCTTGGGGCAACTGCAAGACCTACTCGGCCAGGTCTTGGCTGTACGGCTCGGTCGTGTCTATGCGAGCGCACAGCGAGCCTGAAAAATGAGCACAATTTGTTTGTTGGTTTCCCAGCTGTGGCAGTGACTGTGGCTTGCAGTCACTTGGGCCGACCTCGAGTTCGCATCAGTTAAAGCGCAAATATATATTTTATTTGTGTACATTATTCATTTGCTAATAACATGTTTATGGGCAAACGTTTGACGCTGCCACTTCTGAAATTGAGATGTTGGCTTCTGCGCCGCCTGCTCCACTTTCAGCTGCATTATGTACTGCTCCAGCTGACTGGGCATATTTTGTCGCAAATTTATTGTGGGCGTGGCTGCGGCCGTATCCATGCGTCGCTTGGCAAGCAAACGCTGACGCAGCTCCCGAATGCCAAAGGCGGGCACCTCAATGCACAGAAAATAGGCCAGCTCCATGCCGCTAATGAGCGAACAGCCCAGAAAGAGGCCGGCAATGCCACCAAAGCTAACTGAAAGAGAAATAGAATCAGAGATGTATTGATTGAGGCAATGTCAATGTCAAATAATGAATAGGATATACATATATGTATTGCAGACAAATTAATAATTGATTGGTTATTAAAATAATTAAACTCAACTCGTATTTGACTTGAATTAATTGACAATTATTTAAAATGCAAATAAATATTGTTTTAAATTTGTAACCTATATCTTATATCACTTGTAAATCTTTAATAAATACATTTAGGGATAATATAAATTAAAA